CTTATCAATATTTTGATCTAAAACTCTGCACAGATGTTGACCTCTATATAGGTAACAAGTCTACCAACTTTGAACAAAATTGGTGATTTGAAGTTTTAAACTGTTTGAAATAGCCAAGAATTGCCCATTAGTGAAATCCAAAAAGTTGTTCGAAACGTTTCAAAATATTTAGGTGCATTCCTTGAGTAATTCTAAGAACATTATATTTTTTATATTTTTCTCCAAAGTGTATCTTTTAGCAATAAAAAAATCATAAAGATATTCGTTAAGATTTCGCAGTCCAGGCGCCATTTTGGTTATAGTCCGGTAAAAAAACCGACACCGGAATCATATATAATTCATGCTCAGAAACTTATTCCACCGGTTATGGGTGCTCTAGGTTGATTTCAGACCGGGAACCTTTTTGTAACAGGATTTAAAAAAAATTGGCCTAAAAATCATAATTTCTTTTTGTTTAAACTGTATTTTCTGATAGTTAATAATTTTTTGTGGACACCATCAAAAAAGGCAGGTTTTAAATTTTTCAAATATAGCCCATTCAATCTTTTCAAGCGCGAATAGGGAAAGTTATGAGTCCTCAAAGTGAGGGGTACCGGAAGTGGCGTTTTGGGGCGAAACGGGTTAAGAAATATGTTGCGATAAATGTGTTCTTCTATGTGATGTTTGGTCTAGTCTGTAGTTTTTTTTGCATATTCTTTCCTTATTATTTTGGCATTTAGTATTATTATTACTGGAGAGTGGTCCGATGTCAGATCTAAGCATGAGCTTGATTCAAAATGGGAAGGGTTCATACTTTTCACTATTGCGAAGTCAATAGTGAAAGGTAGTTTGTTGAGATCTGAAAACCAGTATGTAGGCTCCCCGGTCGATATGGGTGTGCAGTCACTTTTCCTCATTGCCTCATACAGTTGTTTACTCCTTTGGATTACTCCCCTCTTCCCCTCCTCCTCTCTCTTTCTTTTATAGGTGTAAAAATCTGGAGCCCCACCGTAGGTATTTCGCGTTAAAATTACCGCCAGCTATGAACCTACGACCTAGTGTACTAAAATAAGAAGTGAAATCCTATTTACTGATTAAATGGTTAGATAAGTAGTAGATTGCTAAAAAAGTGATCGGTCCATTCTTATCCGTCATCATGATGTTTGTAGCTTGCAATTTTTTTGTCTGATGATTAACAGTTAGGTAATGATTTATTGATGCCTTAACAATGATAACTGTGCCTTTATGTCTATTATTATCTAGATGATTTGATTGATAGATAGTTTTGGAAATTTTGAAGTAGTGTTTATTCGTAAAATGAGTTTCCGAGATCAGGATGACATCTACGAGGTGTGTTCAAAAAGTAAGGTGACTTTTCAAATTTCACGGGCAACGTACTTTCGATTATCGATTTTTTTGTTTTGTTATGTTGGTACACTCTTCCCGAACATCGGTACCAAGTTTCAAGTGTATAGCATTTTTTGTTTGGTTGTGAGAGGCGTAAAGGTTATAAGTGTTTTGCGTGCTCGGCGATTTCTTGCTATCGAAAAATATGGATCAAAGGAATCAAATTTTGTGTAAAAAATAAAATAAAGTGCTCCGAAACACTTGAAATGTTGACGGTGGCATACGGTGAAACTGTTCTGAGTAAAAAAAATGTTTACAAGTGGTACAAACTCTTCGAAGATGGCCAGGAAGATGCCAATGACGAGCCTCGCTCTGGACGCCCAAGCACGTCAACAACTGATGAAAACGTTCAAGCAGTGAAGAAAATTGTTCTGGAAAATCGTCGAATCACTATCAGAGAAGTTGCTGAGGATGTTGGTATATCGCTTGGCTCGTACCATGAAATTTTTTTTAATGTTTTGGGCATGAGACGTGTGTCAGCGAAGTTTGTTCCGAAATTGCTAAATTTTGACCAAAAGAACCGTCGCATGAGCATCGCTCAAGAACTGTTGAATGACGTCAACGACGACCCAGATTTACTCAAAAGGGTCATAACTGGTGACGAATCATGGGTATATAGTTATAATATCGAAACCAAAGTCCAATCGTCCCAATGGAAGAGCCCAGATGAGCCAAGACCGAAAAAAGCAGGTCAAGTCCGATCAAATGTCAAAGTTTTGCTCACTGTTTTCTTCGATTACCATGGCGTGGTGCATCAGAAGTTCTTACCATATGGACGTACGGTCAATAAACAGTATTATCTTGAAGTTATGCGCCGTTTGCGAGAAGCAATACGAAGAAAACGCCCAGAATTGTGGAAAAATAATTCATGGCTTTTGCATCACGATAATGCCCCTGCTCACTCAACTTTGCTTGTGAGAGATTTTTTGGCCAAAAACAACACCGCAATCATGCCTCAGCCACCATATTCACCGGATTTGGCCCCATGTGACTTTTTCTTGTTCCCAAAACTAAAGAGACCTATGAAAGGACGGAGATTTGCAACAATTGTAGAGATAAAGACTGCATCGCTGGAAGAGCTCAAGGCTATACCGAAAAGTGCTTATGAGAAATGCTTTAAGGATTGGAAAAACCGTTGGCTTAAGTGTATTGTATCTGAGGGGGATTACTTTGAAGGGGACAACATAAATATTGATAGATAAATAAATATTTTTTCTTAAAAATACAAAGTCACCTTACTTTTTGAACACACCTTGTATTTGCTTGCTAGTGAGAAAGTTTTCTAGTTCTAGTTTTCTCTGTATCAGTGCATTATTATTCCATATGACTATTTTGAATTTATACATTATTTTGAAATTTTATTGATTAATATTGACAGCAGACTCAGCATCTTTCCTCTGCTGTTGTCCAATGAATTTTTTCCATTCTGCCTTCGTTATTTGAGAGCGAGATATCCATTATAATGCTTTTATTGGCTATAAAAGTCTATTTAATATTATATTTAAATCTCTCTTCTATATTTACTTGTAATCAGTTACTTATTGTCAGCGTATTATTGCTAATCCGCTTTGCAGTGTAATTAATCCTTTCATTTACTTAAGTGTCATTTTCACTTTCTTTGATATATTAGATTTTCATTCTGGAGCAAATCTAATCTTACTAGAGACCGAAAAAAAATATAATAGATAAAATCACGTATGTATAATCAAATAAATAATATAAATGTACACTGCCCGTCAATCACTTTTGCCATGCTTACCTCAAAATTAGGCAAACTTGAAAGTTTTGTATCTCGGTCGGAAATCATCATATCACAAAAAACTGCAGGGCATTTTAAAGGTAATTGCAGAAGCTTCCATTTAAGACGTGCAGAGACTTAAAAATGAAAATTTGTGTTTTTTACAGTAAAAAAACTGATTAAAAAAATTTCAATTTTTTTAACCTCGACTTAAATCAATGCCAATTTAGAACCAGGCGGTGGAGGGAAAATCGACCGGAGGGGTTCGGAGGGTAATGTCTTTCCCTTTAAAATTAGCTCCCGCGGGGTTCTATCCGATGTTTTTTAACCGAGTTACGGCGTTTTTTGTAAAAAAATAACCTTTTTTTTCAATTCTCAATTACTTCGACTTACGTACGTTTTGGAAAAAAATACCAAGGAGAAAAAAGTTTCATTTTGTGCCTAAGAATACGAAAATAAAGTCAAAATAAAGAAATGGAGAAACAATTTTTTTTCGGTTTTTTAGCGCATTAAAAAAATAAAGGAATTTCACTTTTTTTTTACGCTTCGTTTTAAAATGTCTAGGGACGTAGTAAATCACAAAAAAACTAAAACTAAACGTAAAAAAAAAGTTAAATTCCTTTATTTTTTTAATGCGCTAAAAAACCGAAAAAAAATTTTTTCTCTATTTCTTTATTTTAACTTTATTTTCGTATTCTTAGGCACAAAATGAAACTTTTTTCTCCTTGGCATTTTTTTCCATAACGTACGCAAGTCGAAGTAATTGACGATTGAAAAAAAAGGTTATTTTTTTACAAAAAACGCCGTAACTCGGTTAAAAAACATCGGATAGAACCCCGCGGGGGCTAATTTTAAAGGGAAAGACATTACCCTCCCAACCCCTCCGGTCGATTTGCCCTCCACCGCCTGTTTCTAAATTGGCATTGATTTAAGTCGAGGTTAAAAAAATTGAATTTTTTTAATCAGTTTTTTTACTGTAAAAAACACAAATTTTCATTTTTAAGTCTCTGCACGTCTTAAATGGAAGCTTCTGCAATTACCTTTAAAATGCCCTGCAGTTTTTTATGATATGATGATTTCCGACCGAGATACAAAACTTTCAAGTTTGCCTAATTTTGAGGTAAGCATGGCAAAAGTGATTGACGGGCAGTGTATATAAAACCCTGAAATAGTCATAAAAACTCAACAACATAAAAGATTATAACGGGGATACGCACTTGACGCTCGCGACAGCCACCATAATTAGAAAGTAATGAAGGAAATTATAGGTTAGCGGATTAGGAAGCGTTGTTCAGATAGCATAGCTATGCCGTCATGCCGTCCCGCTCCTAGGCCCATGGAGAGCGTCGTGCAGCTCACTTGCGCTGAAAACACGAAAGAACGCAATGCGCAGTCGCAATGGGTGACGGGGAAGCGGGAAAGAATAGAGTTCGAAAGAAGCCAGCGGTTAGTCCGACTGGGCGACGGCTTGATGTGATTCCGTTAAATGTTTTGGTTCAAGGATTACTCAAGAAATGACATGAATTCCTACTGGTTTAGGAAATATCGAGTTTGAGGTTATGGGGTTTCAGCAGACTGAACACTGTGCTATACGCAGACTATTGTACTTCTGATGCTATTGTGTGTGTACATTTATAGGCATGAGAATTGAATATTGAATTTTGTGTTGTTATAAGCCTATAGTATAATGTTCAGATCCATCATTGTTCAAACGACCATATCTCCATTGAAAAAATTATAAAATTAATTCTGAATAGTAATTTTTGTGGCACAAAACTTGCTCTTTTAAGAACTGTGGTCAGAATTGCGCAGAAAAAATCTTTCGTCATGTTACAGGTGGTAAAATATAGTAAAAAAGCTTGTTTTTGACGCTTTTAGGTTAAGATATCTGGAAAGCCAAGGGTAATAGGGCAATTCTGAGCCAAGATTCGGAATCAACGCATGAAAATATATCAAGTATCTTATGTCTGGTTTCAGGTTCTTGACTTTTGTAAAATTTTGTTGGCCTGTGTTATCTTTGTTTCATCGCTGTTTGCTTATAGTTGGCATTCGCTTCTCTTTCTATCACATAAATCATTTAACATAGATGGTATACTTGCACAAGTTAGAATTTTATCTAAAATTGTTTTCCGAGCCTCAGAATAAATAGCACCTGAAATAATATTGTAACTTGAAGAACTACGTTCATGTGTAATGCTACAGAGATAAACTAGGTACTTACGAGGTGTGATCAAAAAGTAAGGTGAATTTTGAGATTTAGCGGGCTACGTCCGTTCGATCTTCGACTTTTTTATTTGGTTAAGTCGGTACACTCGTCTAGAACATACGTTCCAAATTTCAGCTTTGTAGTATGTTTGGTTTGTTTGTGAGAGGTATCAAGGTTAGAAGTGTTTTGCGTGCTCCACGATTTGCTGCTGTCTAAAAACATGGATCAAAGAGTTTGCATTAAATTTTGTGTGAAAAATGGAATCAAATGTTCCAAAACACTTGAAATGCTGAAAGTGGCATACGGTGAGTCTACTTTAAGCCAAAAAAATGTTTACAAGTGGTATAAACTCTTCCAAGAAGGCCGAGAAGACACCGACGACGAACCTCGTTCTGGACGCCCCAGCACATCAACACTGATGAGAATGTTGAAGAAGTGAAGAAAATAGTGTTGGGAAATCGTCGAATTACCATTAGAGAAATTGCTGATGATATTGGCATCTCATTTGGTTCGTGCCAATCAATTTTGACGAGTGTTTTAGACATGAGACGTGTGTCAGCGAAGTTTGTTCCGAAATTGCTCAATTTCGGCCAAAAGAAACGTCGCATGAGCATCGCCCAAGAGCTACTGAATGACGTCAACGATGATCCAGATTTACTCAACAGGGTTATAACAGGTGACGAAACATGGGTATATGGTTATGACGTTGAGACTAGGACTCAATCGTCCCAGTGGAGGCATTCTGGATCACCAAGACCAAAAAAAGCACGCCAAGTTCGATCAAATGTATAGGTTTTGCTTACAGTTTTCTTTGACTGCAGGGGCGTGGTGCATCATGAGTTCTTGTCACTTGGTAGAACAGTAAATAAGGAATATTACCTGCAAGTTATGCGCAATTTGCGCGAAGCAATCCGCCAGAAACATCCGAATTTGTGGAAAAATAAAAATTGGCTTTTGCACCATGATAACGCCCCTGCTCACACATCGTTGCTTGTGCGCGAATTTTTGGCTGAAACTAACACAGTAACGATGCCACAGGCACCGTATTCCCCAGATCTGGCCCCCTGTGACTTCTTCTTGTTCCCAAAACTAAAGAGGCCCATGAAAGGACGGCGTTTTGCTACGATTGAGGAGATAAAGACGGCATCGAAGGATGAACTAAACAAGATCACAAAAAATGATTTTTTGAAATGCTTTGAGGATTGGAAAAAGCGTTGGCACAAGTGCATTATATCCGAGGGGGATTACTTTGAAGGAGATAAAATAAAAATTGATGAATAAATAAATATTTTTTGAGAAAAGTAAAAATTCACCTTACTTTTTGATCACACCTCGTATACGCATTAGTCTCTGTTCCCTTTAGTATGGAGATTGATCAGGAGAATCAGCACAATATATAAGCCATGATGAACTGAATCGAATCCCCCCCCCCCTCCCAATAACCCAATAACCTCCCTCCCTCCCAACCTTTGCTCTACGTAATTGTGACAATTTTATAAGTATCATAAAGAATAATTAATATTGAATGACAGCTAACAAATGTTTCTTTTACTGTCTCTTTCAAATTTAACTATTTTTACATTAGCATCAATCGAGATTCTTTTCCAGTTCTTGTAATTTGAGTATGCTTTATTATTTACAAACATTGTTGTTTTTATATTCCGCCAGTGTTTCTTAAATCAACTATTTCTTTGCATTTGAAATTGCCTGCAAAGTTTTCGTCGTGTGATCTAATACTTGTTTTTTGTAAAAATGCCATTATTTTTGTGATAAATAGGTTTTTCTTTATTTATATTTTTCATTTAAAGTCAAACAAAACTTATACATATAACCTCTATTTTACCAAGCTTTCTATAATCGATGTAAAAAGACTTTAGCGCAAATTTCGAGAGATGGTTCGTAGAATGACAAGTGTGCACTTGTAACAAAACTTATATTTATTGAACAAAATTGATGGTGAGAGAACAAGAATTATAAAGCGAACTGGCCGGGAGATCAAGGTATGCAAATACTGTGGCCATCTTGCTCAAAGTGACGAAGGACGAGCAACTTCACAGCACTAGATGTTGTTTCCACTAGTATTTCCGCAGTGCGCAGCTCAGTTGAGATTGTGCAGTCCCCACAGATGTTGACCTCTTAGAGAACTTCGTAGGATCCAAAGCTCACGAAGAGAATACCATTTTGGAATGACCCTGAAGTGAAACGAACTTTGTGGCGTGAACACTGCTGAGCAAAGTAAGGTCCAAGAGCACGTACTCAAACAGTTGTTCGGCAGGGCGAACTATCCGAGCTTCGCCCGATTGTGCCGTCCAACCTTGACGCACTGACATACAACAAACACCTGTCCAGACGAATTTATCAATGAGGAGTCACACTGTCTGTGTCTCGGGCACTTGGGTGAGCCGGCAAGTGTAAGACGTTGAAGGACATCCGACGCAGCAGATAGGACAGGAATGGCTTGACTGTATCAGCGGTGATGCTGTAAGTAAGCTCGATGTCGTCGATCTTCAAGATGCCGTTATCGAAAAGCTGCATAAGTTCATTGTCCTTCCACTGGGCTGTTACGATATCCTGCGCCAGAAAACCGGATGTCGTGTCGATGATGCAGGCGTGAGGCTGTCCTGTTCTGGTGTGCCTGGTGAGGCCTCAATAACACTGTTACGTCCCGAGACGTAACTATTTCTTCATTTTGATTTCATCAGCAATCAATTGAAAAAAGAAATAATGTATAAACAACGAACAACAGGAAGCTTTAAATAAATTAAAAAAACTACTATGCGAAGCACCTATCCTACAATATCCACAATTTAACAAACCTTACATCGTTAGAACGGACGCGTCGAATCATAGTTTGGGCGCGGTCCTTTCCCAGGGAGAATTAGGGTACGATAGACCCATCGCATACGCTTCAAGGGTTTTGAACAAAACAGAACAAAATTATATGACTTATGAAAGAGAGGCTCTTGCAATAATTTTCGCTATTAAAACATTTAGAACATACTTATTCGGAAATAAATTTACGGTAGTAACAGACCACAAACCTTTACTTTCATTAAAGTCGGCTGATAATAATAGTAGGGTACAAAAATGGCGATTAAAACTAGTTGATTACGACTTTGACATAATTTATCGTCCAGGCAAAGAAAACGGTCCAGCTGACTGTTTATCGCGGATTGCGGTAGAACCAAAAATTTGTGTTATGACACGAGCACAAAGAAAAAGAACCGAGAACTTAGAGGAGGTAGTACAGACAAAATCATTAAATGTTGACAAAAAGGAACAAATTACAAATCACGCATGCATTCAAAAAAAGAGCAAACAGAAACATACATACAAATCCAACAATATAGATAAAAAATGTATAAAAAATAGTAGCATTAATAATGATTATAATAGAGGTCATGTCATTTATAGCAAAAGTTCCATACAACTTCGTAATGATAACATTATCCATTTAATCTCTGAAAAACATGAAGGGCTAGACAAAAATACGAGTAACATACTTGCAGAGAAAAATTTGAAAATAAACAAAAATTTATCCAGTAATAATTTAGAAACATTAAACTACGGTAAACGAAAAATATTTATTTTGTGCCTGAACACTGCCGCAGCAACGGAAACAGTAAAACAAGATTTAGCCGAATTGTTCAAAAATTTGAAAAGACTTCTATTACAAAATAAAATCTCTATGCTGAGTATTTCAAAAAATATTGACATAAGAAACATACAATGGTCAGAAATAGAAGAAATCATAAATGATACTTTCATAGGAACTAACATCAAGACTATTGTTTGTATGAATCATGTTGAATATATATGTGAGTTAGACCAGAGAAATAAAATTTTTGAAATATATCATTCTTCGAGATTAGGAGGTCATTCGGGAGTGAATCGAACTTACAATAGAATTAAGGAAAAATACTGTTGGGAAAACCTAAAGAACGACATACAAAAAAGAATTTCCATGTGTATAGAATGTCAAAGAAACAAATTAAAACGTAAACCTACACGACAACCAATGATTATAACAGATACACCTTTCAAAACTTTTGATAAAGTTGCCATGGATATAATGGGGCCATTCGATATTACAAAAAGTAATAATCGGTACATACTTTCAATTCAAGACCAACTTTCAAAATTTATCACATTAGTAGCATTAAAAGACCAAACAGCGGAAGCTGTAAGCGAAGCTTTTATAAAAAGGTTTATTTGTACTTTCGGAACTCCAAAAATAGTACTAACGGACAGAACACAAAACTTCAGAAGCAAAATGTTAAAGCAAATTGCCAAAAGATTTCATTTCGAAAAAATTGAAACAACGTCATTTTCATCTCAATCTAATGGATCTATCGAAAGGGCTAACCATCCGCTTTGCGAATACATCAAACAATTTACATCAAAAAAATGTGATTGGGACGAACTCCTAGAGTTGGCCCAATTCAATTACAACACCAGCATACACACTAGTCACAATTTCACACCACATGAATTAGTTTTTGCTTTTCCAGCCAAATTACCATCTAGCGTACCATTAAAAAAATCCGAACAATTACCAACATTTAATGGATACCTAGAAAATTTAATAAAAAACATGAATATAATATCACACATGGCTAGAGAAAATCTAATAATCTCAAAACAAAAATCAAAAAATTATTATGACCGATTTACAAATCCAGTAAATTTTAAAATTGGAGATAAAGTATGGTTCATGAAAGAACCAAAACCGGGTAAATTAGAGAAAAATAAATATTTAGGACCTTTTGAAGTATTAAAAATAACTGAAAAAGGCAGTGTTGTAATCGATTACAATGGAAAACCAAAAACAATTCATGCCAATAAATTAAGCGTAGCAAAACAAGCATAGTAATCTTATTCTATTTCCAGGAAACACAATGGCGCAACAATCAATGACTATCTTAATCATAATCACCTTCTTTTCAACAAGCAAAGGACTTATTGGTTTCAATTGCGGCTCAACGAACCCTACCATTACAACATACTCACTCTTGGATGCAGAGGAATGCAATTTTCAAGAAATTCAAGTAAATAACACACAAGCCACTATCGAACTATTACAAAAAACGGAATTCAAATCAATGAAAATTATACAATGTAAAATAGAAATAAGGCGAACAATTTTTCATTGCGGTATGTTTAGTCATTTAGGCCCAACCGAAAATGCAATCCAAGAATACATTTACCAAATATCACACGACAACTGTAAAGCTATACATGATACGGGTATTTTTAAATATGATAACGCACACACAATAGCCGACCTAAGGATTAACTCGACAAAAAGTGTAGGTTTAGATCTAGCAGGAAACGTTAAGGGTAAAACTTGTTCAGGGGCAGCCTACGCCGACCGATTTGGTACGTGGAGCGATATTCTCGTACAAGGACTTATAAAAATAACCTTGTTAGAAAGCTATGCAGCAGTCGAATTAAATAATGATAGATTAAGATTAAATTCGGGTACAGTATGTAAGTTTTCGGACCAACATTGTATCGATATGGAAGGAGGTTACACCTTTTGGTCATTACTACCGCACGAAGACTGTTTCAAAAATCAATACGATATACTGTATAGGGGAACGGTCACTAAAATAAGCTCACCCGATCATGAAACCATTTTTAGCATAAGTACGAACGAAGTATCCTTTGCATTGTCAACTAGAGGGAACATGAGTTTTTGCAACAGAATCTTAATAACAACTGAACATCCAAAACTTTTTATATATGAACGAACCCAATTCAATATTTTGTACGACAATGATATTCAAACGAAGCAAGGGATACTTAGCTATGATCTATTCACGTACTTCAATAGCAAATTTGTGTACGTAGAAAAGCATTTCAGGGTCGAAATAAAAAGTCTCTATATAGATATATTGCAACAAAAATGTGAATTGGAAAGGAAAATCCTATATAACTCCTTATCCCTGGCATCCCTCTCACCAGATGAATTTGCGTACAATATCATGGAGAAGCCCGGGTACATAGCTCGCCTGGCAGGGGAAGCCGTACATATTATACAATGTACGCCTACAGAAGTTCAACTACTTCATACAGACAAATGTTTCTCGCAACTTCCAGTCATTTCAAGAAACGAAACATTTTACCTCACACCAAAAACACACATCTTAATGAAAACAGGAACAGAAATAAACTGCAACACAATCATTCCCCAATACTACAAAATAGGAAACGAATGGATAAATTTGACACCAACTCCGAGAAGAACAACCAACGCAGTTCTAACCTTGAAACCGACCACTAAAATAACATGGAAACCGACGGAACTAGAATCATTGGCAACCAGTGGGATCTACTCCCAAGAAGACCTACAAAAACTACAAAATCACATCCTCTTTCCCATGGAGAAAGCATCACTCCTCAACGTGATCGCGAGAAGTATGCGAGGCGACGAAAGTGTAGAGGGAGGATTAGTATCAAACCTAATACTGACAGAACAAACATTAACCAACATCGCTGGAAGCACATGGAATAAGTTCATCACCAAACTAACTAAATTTGGTTCTATAAGTTCTGCCATCATAATGACCGCCATTATATTTCAATGCGGTAAAAGTCTAATAATCAGAGGCTATACTCTACACTCTATATATGGAATCTCTGCATACTTGCTAGGAGCCATATTTAGTTCAATAACACAATTACTGGTGGCACTGAACAAACCGCTGCTCAAACAGAGAAACCAAACTCCGTCAAAAGAGGAAGAATATGCATTGGATGAAATAGTAATAGACAAACAAAAAAATGAGAACCCACGAGCAATAACCCCATTCACGAACCAGACCTTAAACACCACATCCCCCGTCCCTACTCCTAAAGAAATTTCCACCAGAAAGAAGCAACATATCCCAATTTTCACATTAGAATCACATTAGTTAAAAACACAAATCTGTTATATATATACATATCGAATCCTGAAATGAAGCTCTACTATACCGTGATACGGAGTATTATTGTCCGCGTAACATTAAAAGTACTATTAAAGTAAAATTAAAGCGTATTCAATCGATTGCCGAATAACCAAGAGTAACGCACATTTATTTACTTATTTATTTATTTATTTATTTCTCTCTCTCATTTCTCTCTGTTTATTTTGCGTTGATATCACACCGATATACAACGATCTAGCCACGGAGGTGTTACGTCCCGAGACGTAACTATTTCTTCATTTTGATTTCATCAGCAATCAATTGAAAAACGAAATAATGTATAAACAACGAACGGCATTTTTACAAAATACAAACTCAGCGAAATTAAAAGATGAGTAGTCCGAAAATCTGGGGCGCCCGACATTTTGATTTTTTGATTACTTAACACATTAATATGGGCCGAAGAGTCAATATAAAAACAGAAGACTCGACTATTCGGCAGTTGATTCGCGACGCGCGACTACTCAATAACATTAAAATTTGTTAAAGTTCTTACGGACTGATTTGCGACGCGCGACAGCCGAACAACGTATAATTCACCTACTGTTATTTTTGAGAAACTACTTCTGTCATTGAATAAATAAATAATTATTTAAATCGAGTGTTCGTGCATCATTACCGACCGACCTGATATATACTTTATCAAGATAAAGCTAAACAGCCAATTTAACTCGAGATAATAACCCAGGTAAGTTCCTGTCACTATAATATTTACTAATAAATGAATGATCATACCTATTTTAAAAATACACGTCACGGCTACGTAGTCGCGACATAACAACACATAGTGTAGAAAACGGAATTTTTTTATATCATAATCTAATATTTCAAGAATGAAAAGAGATACAACATTAATTTAAAGGCATTTTGTAGATAAAATTATGTTGCATTTAGAAAAAATATTTTCGTTAGATTAAAAAATGATCTTTACCTTCAAAATGACCTACAAAAATTGAATATTTTTTTTCTTTTTTTGAACAGGATAATCAATGTTTTGTAGAATTTTGAAGATGTTTTCTCAAAGTTCTTAGCCCAAGAAACCCATTTCCAATATCAAAGAATTTGTTTTATCTCAAATTAAATACGATAAACTCAGTCGGTTATGAACAAAAAATCATCGTATATTTTAAGTTATGCTGGTACAATTACATTCATGAAATGTACACTTACCTTCTCTCCATATAACGTTTTATATCTTTAGTAATGGGTAATTTCTCTTGCTTTTTCAATCTAACACCAATATTTAACAAAGAAATTTTGAGGTCAGTGTAACAAAACTCTATCCTTTTGCCTGACCTTCCTTCCAGCTATCCCAAACTGCACTCTCTACACTCTAGCAGGACTGGGCTTGGACTCCTGCACTCTAGTAGGACTAGGCTTCGACTCATACACGCACTTATTCTTGCGCTTGTCTTGCAGCCGCTCAGCGGCGCTCGCTCCTCTCCCTACCTTGACCTATTAGTTAGGCGGCACGCGACGCGACGCTTATCGGTCACGCGTTGCGCGCCTGCCAATCCCTGCATGGGCCTAATACTCTCTCTCTTTTTCTCACTCTCTCTCCGCGCTCCTCAACTTTTTCTTGCGCTCAACTGCGCTGGCCCGTCCTTGGCGCTGAAACAAAAAGACCAAGTGTTAGGCGCATACTTTAATGCGCCTAACGTTGGCCAACACGCCTTGCCGAGTGGAGGAGGGAGAACGCAGACGAGAGACCGGCACATGGCCTGCTCTCGTCACATCAGTATAATCTAAAACTTGATGAAATACATCTCTTAAACGATTTTTCTGCTACTTTGTCGAGCATGTAAAACTAGATTTCTCCTATAGTGTTTGTGTTAAGATTCAAAACAATTTTCCGCATAATAGGTTTGTAGCATAGGAAATTGATCACTTATGTTACACCCGTTAGCCAAAAGTTTGTGTAATGTTGGACTCAATCGAGCCCATCGATATAATTCGTAGTATGAATTATAAGTGTGCACGTGGAAAACTTCCAAAAATTTTGATGAAGAATAACAACAGTTACTATATTGTTAACAAATTTATTATTTAACTCTAAACAACAAGCTACTTCTTTAAGATCTTTGAAACGTGTTCTAGCTATATTGCCAGTGTTCGTGGTACTATGTTATTGTGGTATATGCCTTGTAATACTTTATTAACCCATAGTCCAAAATCCTTGTGTAATCGATCTTGAATATCCTGTTTTCTGATTACTATATCTTGTGAAAGTAGAGACAAACAGAACATATACTGCTATTTATCATTCTATATTCATATGTGCATTTAAATAATGTTTGATTATGATTTATACGATGAAACAAAAAGATTTTGAAAGTGCTCAAACCTGTGGATGAAAGAGCTTCCAAAGTTGCATTGGTAATATATACTTAAATGAGTATTAAAATTGTTTTCATCTATGTTAAAAAATGATGTGATGCTCTAACATGAAATATTATGTAAGTTTTTGGTTACATACTTACGTTTAACTGTGTCTGATATTTCCCATTTTTTGTAGGGTCATTTGTACAATAAATGAAGTAAGCTTAAATAATTTTATGAAAACATGCAAGAGATCAAGTCGATACTTCATATTTTCAGCAATAAGCAAAAATGAATCACATGGTTTGTTGAAGTGCAAATAATGTGTAAGATAGATTGGACACTTAGGAGAATACGTATTACCAACTATCCCGTTCAAGCATTTGTCATCTAATAATGTAATAGAAGCATTATATATTACTTTCGCTAATTTTCCATTAGCAATTCTGAATCAGTGAGGTCTAAAATGATTCATTTCTTTTTGTAATCAACGAAATTCATCTCCAATACTTTTTTGATGCTCTTTTTCAAATGCAATTTTGAATGGTTACAGAATCTAAGAATCTAATACTATATGAGTTTGTGTTGATCCATGAACAATCAGAGTCTTTGCTTAATAGTGTGACGGCCAGCCGTAACTTAGTTTTTTTTATATTAATTTAATTAATAAATATGAAGAACGGAGCGAGAACCTTCCTGATTTCCCACGATGTAAACGCATTCGAGATAAAGTGTTTATATAAAACGATAATGGCCCGAGCCTGCGTACTCGGCCTTACAATCGACGCTCTATCCTGCTTTGTCCTAGGCGGATGTGTTGACAGGAGCCTACGATCATCACGTATACATCATGAAGCATTATAACGCCGATAATAGAAGGGGGCCATAAAAATGCAATTTATCTTTTTTTTCCCACCGAATTTTAAGAAAATATCCATAATATTTAATGGATTTTAATCAATTTTGTAAGTTACTATTGTACCATAATGCGCATCTTTTAAAATATATCATTTATCCAGTTCAACCCTTGCAATAACAGAATAACTAATAAATAATTTCATGTTTTAAGCGAGAATAACAATAGTACCGTAATGCATATTATAATAACCCTTATAAGTTTTTGGATTTTTATAATAGTTAATTATTAAATTATTGTAATTTATAGTTATTAAATAATCACTATGTATCGTTAAAATTAACTAAGTTTAGTACGATTTTGTATAAGTAATTATAAACTATAGCATCACTCTTGCTCTTAAAAGTGGCACTCCGAGAGCCATCTCTGGAGAAAAGGGCCCAAGTTGAAAAGGAACCGCCCTATCTCTCTCTGAAAATTCACGCCCACAGACCAATAAAGAAATCCTAGATACGATTAGATAATTTCCAACCAATACAAAATTTGGCCGTTATCGCTTCATGGGTCTGAGGAAAGGGATTTCCACCCACCCGCCCCCAGGTTATAGAAAGCCCTGCACAAGGCTGCGATAGTCAGTCTAGTGAAAATTAATCAACAAAAATTCAAGTTCAAGTAGTTGGAGTTGCAGTTGCAGTTGTTCCCGTAGTTGTCAGTTATCGTAGTGTGAGTACAAAACAGATATTGAGTACCAGTGAGTGAGTGCGGAAGGAAGCACAAGGATAAGACAACCAAAAAGTAAAGCAGCCAAGAAGACAAGAAAATCAAGAAAAGATTGAAGGAAGCACGGGAGTCCGTGAACAAAGAGTCTAGACAAGAAGAAGTGAATGAAAGAGCCAAGCAGCCAAGCAGCGTAGTAGCAGAACAGATAAAATAAAAAAAAGATCGACCAATACAGAATAAAGACCCGCAAATTAACAGTGTCAAGTTTTCAATAAAAAAAGAGTAAGCAATCAAATTTTTTATTTTTTTTTTACTTATCTATCTCTCCTCTCTTTTAGCGTAGCTCGCAATCCAAAATTTTCCCTTTGTCGTATTTGGAGACTACTTTTGATAGGCTCCAAATACAATTAATATTAGGAAAACCGGGTTCTACTATTGATAGGACCCAGGGTACCTCCCGCTCTCGGATTACAACTATTAATTGGAATCCAAGAGCAGAAGTACAGCTTTAGTGTCACCATCACCTGCGGTATTATTAATTTTCGAATAGTGATCCCGCTAGTTTATGCGAGAAATCGCAAACTAGCAACAACAGAACCCTGAGCTAGCATATACAATAGCTTAATGATTTTTACATTTGAAACGAATAAAGATATGTCTGTATGTTTTCTTCATTTTCGAATTTTTTGGTGAGTATTTTTGAGACTTCATGAATTATCAAATTAAGTAGTAACAATTAATTTCGGATTGAACAAATCTAGATAAGCCATTCATTTGCGAAAGCTTTGCATAATCTTTCTATGATTTTATTAAGTAATTTTTGCAATTCTACGAATACTTAAGTTTCTTCACCTTTTAATAATGTAATTCGGCAGTCAGCCATACTAATTTGGAGTACTTTGTAAGAAGAATTTATTGGTTCCTTGAATCTCCTACTACATTATTATATAATCTCATACTCATATAATTATCTAATAAAAAAGCAAGAGCAGACTCATGGGTATATTTCATAGGTTCAGTTGTATCATTTTGCAAAGTTTTATTAACTATAGAAACTGAATCATCATTTGTTCTATTCAATACACTATTTGCAAGTTTGGGAACATCCTTATTACCTTCAGTATGATTTATTACTTCATATGCCCTTCTGAATTTTGTATCTTTAGAAATATCTTCATTTGCTACTCTTTTCCGTCCAACACCACAGTGCCCGCAAGAGATTTTTTTAGGACGCCCATGACTTTTTTGCTTTTATCATTTTTTTTCTCTGCCCTTTTTATAAGTTACTTGCAAAAATCCACAAACCTTTTATTTTTTTCAGTGATTATAAAAAATTCTTTCACTCCAGTATTATTTTATGACACAAGATGAAGATTATTTCGAGCATATCAAAAATATTTTTGTACACGATACAATAATTTTTTGAAATGTTACTTTTATATGAATAGCTACTGAATCAAGATCTACTCTCCTTATCGCATCCCATTTCAAACTTCAAGGCCATATTTCAAGACCCATAATGTTTTCAATATTCATAATTTTTTCCTTTTGTAAGTCTGATCTGCTCTGCCTCTGTGAGAGTACCAAATTGAACTTGTAATATATGTTAAGCTTGATAAAATAAGACACCTTTTATCGCCAATCAATCATTTAAGTCTCAAAAAAAGAAAAACC